AAGTTATGTATGATTGTATTCACAACCCTGAAAAACATGTATGTTGAACAGGTAGACAATAAATTAATTAAAAAAAACTCACGGATCTAGCGGTGACCCCGCGAACTATTTTCGTACGCACCATGCTGTGATGACAGCTAACTCTGACGCTGTTTACAGTATGCAGTGAAGGGCTTGAATCACCAGAAGGGAAAAGAGGCGCATTGTCAGCGTTGGCACCCCGTAAGATAATTATCGTTTTATAGGATTATTTTATTGTGTGTAGCATTTAAGACGTTACTAATGTAATCATCCTTTCGAATTTGAATTAAATTCATTCCTTCGATCGATGCAATTCCCTTCGATTTGATCCCGCCGATTTGTCGAATAATGTCAACTACAAATTTTTATATACTAATTAATTCTACTAGAATGAAACAGCATGTTGTAAAATAGGAGCTTGCAACTGTACTAATTTTCTTTAATAACCCGCCTGATAATTAACTGAAAGAATGTTCTCTTCAGATAACTCATCTGGGAGCGGTTAGATTAGGTTCTCCAACGCGTTATTATGGAGTGGGTAGAGGCAGTATCCCGATTTTTAATATGAAAACACTTTTTAAACAATTTAAATTGTCGGCGACGCTACATTCAGCTTGTGTCAACTCAATGGAACCAGGAACGAAAAGACACCCTTAACGGTTGGAGTCAGGTATGAACAATTCAAACAAACTAGTAGCCTGCAAACGAAACTTCTCTGTCTTCGTGCTATATTAGTCGTTCATATTGTTGAAGTGGTACAACAGCAAACACTTTCTACCATTATTTCTAAATTTGCAATTTTCAAAAAATCAGAGAGTTCAACGAAAATGACACTAATGCCATTCTTTTCAATATCCTTTATTTTACCTGCAGAAAATATTTAAAGAAAAAATTGGAGTGATTTATGAGAGGAAAATGTTATTTTTTTTAAATTGCATATATTTTGCATCAACTTACGGGAAAATACTCGAATAGTTTTAAAAAATTAACGTGAACCTATTGAAAGTCTGGTCTTTAAGGCACAGTTTTTATTAAGAAAAATCTCTATCTTCAATATTACAGTTGTAGGAAAACGGCTAAAAAATGCACTTCTCTCATTTTACAAAATCTGGGATTTCAACGAGGATGAGACCTACATCATTCTCTGAAGTGTCCTTTACGCTACCCGAGGACAAAGTTTGTCCAATAATTTGGAGTCATTTAAAAAAATTGAAAATGCTTTGAGGCTTCTTGTAAAATAAAAAGCACAAAAATCAAAATATCCGTTTGAAAGTCCCAAAGCCAAGCTCAACCAGATTTATCCAGGAATATTCATTTTGAAGAAAATTGGCTGAATTGTTTAGACGCTAGCGTTGATCACAGACAGATCTTCAAAACGGACGGATAAACAGACAAACGTTTTGCCTTCAATCGATTTTTCGCTATCAAGAACTCACAAAACAAAGATACTGGCTACACCACGTGTTAGAGGACTTTTTCTCTATATTTAGCAACAGGATTTGTCTAGTTTTTCGTTACCAGGGCCCGGTAACAAGTATTAGTGCCAAAAGTTTGCCGTTTTTCTGCGCACGATTACGTAACACTCTCTTCTTATGAAGTACTTTTGCAAGCGCAAGAAAGTAAAATTACTGTTGATCATCCACATAAAATTATTTTACAAAAATCAACAAGATACTCAAGAACGACAAATAAATTACTCTAGTGTAAGACTACAATAAATTAATTAGTTTTACAAAAACAGTCATCGCAAATAATGCAATAAGATACATTGTATATACGAATGCACAGAAGAATAGTTGTTACCGTATCAAGAGTATTAAAAAAAGTTGTTGTTCCGTAACACTACACAAGAAAAGAAAATATTCAATAGCGGGCGGCCTCTTGGAACCTTGCCTGACACTACTTCAGATGTGATGTAAGTAGGCTATGAGAATTTAGTCCGCACGCGCAGTATAATATTTCGTGGTTTAGATCAATCAAATATTTGCGTTTTTCAGTGAACATTGAAACTGTTTTGGTGTGTTTGTATTTCTTTCGAGTTCCTGTCTATCCATCGAAATCATAGATACTTCTGACATGGGCTAAGTTTCCAAGATGTTCAATTTCTACGCGTAATATAATTAATATTACAGATTCGATTTTTTTCTTGCGAGATGTAGTCAAACGACATACACTCTGCGACCAAAAGTATCCGGACACGTCCAAAATGGTGTTATGGTTTGGTCGTGTTTTTCATGGAGGGGGCTTGCACCTCTTGTTGTTTTGTGTGACACTATCACGGCACAGACCTACGTTGATGTTTTAAGCACCTTGCTTCTCACTGTTGAAGCGCAATTCGGGGATGGCGATTGCATCTTTCAACACGATCGAGCACCTGTTCGTACTGCATGGGCTGTGGCGGAGTGGGTACACGACAATAACATCCCTGAAATGGACTGGCCTGTACAGAGCCCTCACTTGAATCCAATCAAACACCTTTGGGATGATTTGGAACGCTGACTATGTGTGAGGTCTCACCGACCTACATCGATACCTCTCCTCAGTGCAGCACTCCGTGAAGAATGGGCTGCCATTCCCCAAGAAACCTTCCAGCAGCTGATTGAAACAATACCTGGGGGTGTGTGTGGAAGCTGTCATCAAGGCTAAGGGTGGTCCAATACCCTATTGAATTCCAGCATTACAGATGGAGGGCACCACGAACTGGTAAGTCATTTTCAGCCACGTGTCCGGATACTTTTAATCACATAGTGTATATCGGACAACGCATAACAAATCAGCGATCGCTTTGGTTTACAAACTTCAACATTGCTTGTTATTCCCAATTTAGTATTATTTTTGAAGTGATCAAATACTATTTTTGACGTGGTGAAAAGGCGATTCTAATCACAATTTTATATACTAAAAGACGTTTTATTGCCGCCGGGATTAAAATATAAGAAATTAAAGTAACAGGACCGTATAAAGCAATTGCAGTTCCATTCTTGCGCATAAACTCTCACAAAGGTCTGGACCGTTGATTACAAGTGAGGACAGAAATTGAAGACGGAACGTGAGGATAGAAATTGAGGACGGAAATTAATTACGTGGAAATATTAATTCACTGTATGCCCTCATTACCCGTCCTCACAGCCAGTTCACATTATACTTTCCCTCTTTGCTTCCTCTTTACCTGGCATTATCACTGTCGTCTTCTCCCTAATTTGGAGGAGTTGGTGCAATTATGAATTGTCATAACCATTTGATAATGTTGCACAAGCAAATACGTTTGTTTAAAAGTAATAAATAATTACAAATTAAGTTTTTTTCATAGCACATCATAACTTAGCTTCACTCAGATCGAAAAAAATAAGGCACGAGCACGATAGCTTGATGTACATAATTATCTTAAATGAAACCTCTTCTCACATAAATAACTATAGTTTTATCCAGAATCTTAAAGTTTCTCATTAGTAATATAAAACAATAACTCACAATTATCAGATTCTCTATTAACCATCTGATAACTGGCCTCACGGCTCCCGGGATCCTTGCAACTGGCGCAAATCTGCACACGTCGTGCTACTACGGAATGTAAGAAATTTGTTGTCCAATTTCACTAGAAAGACAGGGAGATAGAAAGAGAGAAAGAGAGAGAGAAAGAGAGAGAGAAAGAGAGAGAGAAAGAGAGAGAGAAAGAGAGAGAAAGAGAGAGAAAAAGAGAGAGAAAGAGATAGAGAAAGAGAGAAAGTGTGTGTGTGTGTGAGAGAGAGAGAGAGAGAAATTGTAGACAATAAAGAGAAAGGTAATATCGCGCATGGTGTCCCGTTTGTTGAGTACTGCTCCGGTTTTCGCCTGGTTTTGATCGCAGAAACCACATAAAATACTGATCAGAATTGTCCCGTTAGAAATCTTCTTCAGCCAACGCATTAATTTTTCCCTGGCACTATAGTTAGTATGGCAAGTATGCCACCATCAAAGCTCAAAGCCAAGTCAACGACGCACATACAGGCATAGAAGCTGCCTCTGAGCTGTTCGCGCGTCAGCTAGTCTTTCGCGCCCGCTCCACTTCGTAACGACTCGTCATTCCGAATCGCATAATCATTTACCTCCTTTCGCAGCGAAATCGATCCGGATGACGACGCCGTCCCGCCACGCGACAGGCGTCGCCGTAACAGTAGTTCCGGGGCGACTCCGCAGAGCGCGCCGCCCGCAACCGCTTGGGATGTTAGCGGCTCCCGCCACGTCGCGGAACGACTCGATTCTCGCGAAGGCCATTTCTCCAGCGCGGCGCGGGAAAGCCGAGATTAGAAGAACGGGAACGCCGGCGGGGCGCCGACTTCAAGCGAGATTTCGAGAGAAGGATCTCTCAGAAACCACTCCATTGGTCTAAATGGCTCGGCACAGAATACCCACTTCCTTATTTAATTCCATCAAATCTACCAACTTTGAAGTGGCTTTACGCGATTTAGAAGCACTTGCCGACGGGCAGCCGAATAAGATAAGCCGTCTCGCTCGAGCTTTCTGGCGGCAAAAACTTTTATTTTCGAGTCAAATGAAATGAGCATTATTAAGTTCTCCATTGGGCACACAGTATTCTTTACTGTCATCGTGCTTTCAAAGATGTAAAATGAATATTTTCTACAATTAGCACATCAGGATTAGACATTATTGTAAAGATATTTCAATTTTCGTTGAAATGTAATATGAAATTCTATGTGAGTAGATATATATCTTTGGGAATATAAAGAAAAACTAAAAACAAAATGGAAAAATTCTACCGTGTATAAGACATTGACGAGCTATTTAATATTTTTACAGCTAGAACCTTACTTTTCCGTGATACTTAGCAATAATAATAATAATAATAATAATAATAATAATAATAATAATAATAATAATAGTAACTCATTAACCAACAAACCTACAAAACACCGAGAACTAGCGGGTTAGATAAGACATGGAAGGTGAAAAAGGTACATATCTGTACCATGCCAATTAAACCAACAAGAAGAGTAACAAGATTCATCATTAAACATCGACAACAATTAAATATTAAGCCTGTATTGGCAACAATATAAAAAGCAGTTATTCTGGACACTTGTCACATAGTGATAAAGACTGTCACTGATATGTAAAACATTGGAGGTTCTGAAAGTAAATAAAGATGTTGCTCGTTAATTGCTCATCGGGGCCGTACGAGTTATCCTACGCTTAACAAGACCTGTGGCAAGAGAATTCCTCCTACCCATGCGTGTGAGAAGTGCATGGGCCATAATAATAATAGTAATAGTAATAATAATAATAATAATAATAATAATAATAATAATAATAATATCAATAATAATACCGCATCGGGAATGGTTACGCGACTTTGTACGTTTGTGATAATCCATTCACCCTTCATCATCATCATCATCATCATCATCATCCTCTCATACTTCCTCGCCCGGACTAATTACTCTGGGGTGTAAAAATGTATTTGGCATAAAAGTGCTCTCTCTCTCTCTCTCTCTCTCTCTCTCTCTCTCTCTCTCTCTCTCTCTCTCTCTCTCTCTCTCCAAAAAAAGGTCATGTGTACTTGGCCCTAGGAGGACCTTTAACCCTTGCCCTTGGTGGGTACAACTGGCGCGTTCGCATGGTCTCAGAATGGCCAATTCGAGACAAAAAACTAGTAATAATAATCCATGTGTATTAGTATTTGGGCATTATTGTTTAGTGATTTTTTTAGGATAAATCAGTTGGAATGAATGGGGATGCATTTTTTTAGTGGGACATTACACTACTACTGCATGTTCGACTTCCTTCCCTAGTGCAATGAGAATTGAGCTTTGCGTGCCGGATGGCAAACAACGTTGATTTACCGCCGCAAAATATGACTCCAAAATCAATGTAGAAGGAGAAGTCATCGGAGCACCGAGAAAGAAGTAGAGCAAGATTCCAGCTGCACGGCGCTGCGCATAAATACACGACGGAAGAGAGGTTTTTTCCGGCGACTTTTTATTAAGACCAATATGTCTTCCCATCTGGGGAACAAGGAACCCGGTCGTTTTTCACCGTGAAGCTGTACGACTCCGCGGAGGAGAGAATACCAAAAATATGCACGACTTGTCTCCCCTCTCGTGGATTACTCCAGGCAAGATTGAAGAAGGTCGCTGCCACTGCTTCTGCCGCCGCCTGCAGAACATTCTACAATCCCCCAACACCATCCCTCAACCTCGCCCTACTCCTCCAGAGTTCTCTCAGAGAGCGAATCGCGTATATTGAAAAATGACGTCACCAACGCGGTACTCGGCCATTGGTGGCGTTTCGCGAAACCGGTTTCCTGCAGCAATTTGCGCGGCGTTTTCTCAATGCTAAGTTATTAAAAGCTCCTCTGGAGACAAAACAGAGTCATCGAAGCCAGTAAGTTTCCATTCACAACGTGCGAGTACTAAAAAGCTCGCTTGTCACACATATTTTTGAATAAACGTAAGTAAGCTATTGTAAAAGTTTTGAAAAACTATCTTTTCCCGGAGGCGAACTGGAGGAATGCGGAGATTCAAGGACGAAATTAGCAAAGCAAACAGGTGTCTCGAATTAAATATTAGAAACTTCTACGGCTTACAGAGCAGTCAAAAATGTTCACTTTTTGTCAATAAACATGTAGTGAGAAATTGAATATAACGGAGTGAAATGTCTTTACACATGCACTATTTGCGTCTGATTTTAGGCAACTCGTGTACATCAGATGTTCGTCGGGTGATGTTGTGACCCAGTCAGCCAAAGGAAATTTCTGGTACAAGCCGAATATTCTACACATGAGGCGCACACGCCACATGAATACATGCAGTGAACTTCGATACAAACAGTATTGCAGTATATATTTATTGTCTAAAAGTAATCATTTTCGACCGCTGAACATGCCCTAGAATTTTGTAACATTTATTCCGAGGCATTCTGTAGATAACAAGGGAATGATTGAGAGACAATATCATTCGCAAAGCTTCAAAGAAAAAAATAGCTAATGGCAATTTTTGCCAATGATAATATAACACAAAAAATGGAAACAAAAACTGCGCATTTATCAATACGCAGCAAATATGGAATGAATTATTCAAGATTACAAAAATAGTAAAAATTTTGAAATAGAAATAAACAGAAATTGAAACAGGAAAAAAATCTTTGGCATGTTATTATGCTTTTAACCGTAAATATTTGTAGCGTACTATTTGGAAAAATGCATGACGGCAATTTTTTGCTTACCCTATTAATCTGCTTAGTTCAATTGAAGAATAAGATCTTCTAACACAATACTTTAACAATCCTGAAATTTCTATACCTCTGAAAATAAGAATTTCTCAACAAGATAATAGAATACAAGAAAATAGAATCTTTTATTTCTATCTCTGTCTCATGTATTTTGTATCACTGCCTCATGTATTTTGTTTCACTGTCTCATGTATTTTGTGTCACAGTCCCTTTATATCAAATGATTCTACATACATTCCGGCTACCGATGGAAGTGAAGATCCAGCGGCATATAAATAAATTAATCTGTTCAGCAAATTGTTTCTAATCACTAGATTACTTTGTTTGATAACTTATATTCATTCTTGATACATGGAAAATTATCTGTATTGTATGTCCATTATCGACAAGCTTTATTTAATGTATTTTAATTATATTCGTCAAAAAAGTAGCAAAAACTGTAAATGACATATGATGATGCTGCAGTAACAGGACAACGCGAACATCCCGATCATAATTCGATCAGGTAAGGACGCCTGAGTAAGTTTGCTTCATCCGAAGACTCGTGCGATTCTGCACTGCTCGAGATAAGGTCATTTACCTACTTAACGATGTTTATTAAGCAGGTCTTTGGTTAATATCGTGGTTTCACCCACTAGCGACGTTAGAATCCAACAGAAACATCGTTTAAACAGAACTTTGGTAGATTTCCTTTTTCATTTTGGTATTTGGCATAATTTACATTGTTTTTTTTTTGTTTTTTTTTTTGGAAACTCTTATTTCATTATCTACACCGGCACACAAAAAATTAAAAATAAAAAGTTGTCTGACCCCAAGGATTGACTCATGTTTCTCTATCTATGCTGTCACGCTGAATCCAAATCCGAAGTCAGAATGGCGCCACCACCCTCTAGTTGTTTTTTTAATCGCATAAAACACACGTAAATACTTTATTTTGGTGTCTTGAAGTATTATACTCTACAGAATCCAAAAACCTGACCCAAAGACTTGGCACGTGTTTCTCTATGTATATCAACCTGCTGAATCCGAATCCGAAGCAGTTTGCGCCACCACTCTCCATTTTTAATCTCCACAAAACACTGGAATTTACAATTTTAAATTTCACTGTTTTTTCGCAATTTACAAAATAACCGGAGGGTGGTGGCGCAATTCTTCAGCTTAAAAAAAGTAATAATGACAAAATCTTTGAAAATGTTTATACATCTGTGGGAACTTTGATATATCCCTTCACAGGTGTACCAACGAAATTAAACCACTATATTAGATATCGAGACGCCCATTTTACTTTACGGGTACTCGTAAAACTCCCAAGTGAAGTATTAAAAGTTATTTCACTTACAAAATGAACAATAAAATGCTATCTTCTATTCTCATAATCGTAAAATTCACAGATAATACCATGCAAAAAATTTATGTGAAGCAATTTTTCGGCGATACTTCGTACTTTATTGAGAGGTGGGTTCCAGGTGCGAGGGACATAACATTATCAAGTAGAACACGTTTGACTGCATTGCTTTTATGTAATATTTTAACTTTTGAAGAATCTGTATTGAAAATGTACACAAAGACTTTCGAGTTAACGTATTTTGATTGTGATCTAAGTTCGTAAAAATATACCAAACACTATTTCTGTATTATATATAATGTTTCGAAAAGGTGTTACGTAAATTTAATTTTTTCGGATAAACTACTACCTCAGTAAACTTGTGTGTGGTTTAAATTTTTTAATTCTTAGTGATTGCATGAGTATTTTACATTTTCATATATGCTACACTACATTTAATTAATAAGCATTTATTTGGAATGTGGACATTAAGCGCTACCTGGCGGGGACGAAAATAACCATTTCTTGGGGGTATTGAAAGCTAAGTCACATCGCATTTTTCTTACTTTCTCGTACTTACTTACTAAGAATAGAAAGTTATATAATCGCGCGCCCTAGCAACCGGGCCTTACTAAGAAATGCCTCGCATGGACATGCGTGATATTGAATATACCTGTTAGTGTGAGGACCCAAGTGTCCCCAC